AAGTGGCCTATTGATTTAAGGAACAATTGGAGAAGAAAGGCATTTTTCAAAAATCAGTAAAGAAATAGAACATGGCCTTTTGGGAATCACCAATGACAAAAAAGAAAATGTGGCATGAGCATGTAACATGCATATGGCCAAAACTATAGATATGAAAATGCTGGACTTGAATCAGAATAGTATTTGAAATCAGCTTAGTTTGAGTTTGATCTCCATTGAAATACTAGCAGTGGTTTGTAAGAATTATATGTCTCTCTGTCAAAGCCTATTCCAAATTTTATCTGATTTGTAAATATATTTAAATTATACATACCCTCAGCACTACCTGGATGCATTTTAAAATAACAAAATAAAAGGACTATTGTTTAGCCATAGACAATTTGAGGGCTGCTTTTCACAAGAAAATTTTGAGGTAGAACTGTGATTATTTGGATGCATTAACTAGAAATCAAGGTTGACCACTACACAATTCTAAAGACTAAGTGAGTTATTAAGCAATTAACCTACGGAAAATTAGACTTGGATTTTGTGTGATCACTGTTATAAAATATGAAGCTACACATACCAACACAGTACTTATACTCAACTCAGGGACTGTTACATAGCATACTTAGCTTATGATATTTATTCTTTCCTTCCTTTGAATCTATGCTGGTGTAAAAAGAGGTTCTAAGATATGATTTTTAAGGGGTGAAGGAAGATTATCTTGTTGGAAAAGGTGAGAAAGAGAAAGGATTTGATTCATGACAGCTCTCATTCTTCCGACAAAATTACAAAAGGAAGGAGAATAAAGTAGTCTGACATCTCAAGGAGAGATCAAACACAAGGACGTGGCTATTGTGTTTTATATATAGCTGTGTTGTCTCATCCTCTGCTGGTTGGTCATCATAAAATAAGCTTACTGTTCCTGCCAATTGAGGGATTATTATCCCTTTAGCTCAAGTGGTAGAAGCCTGAGCTTTTGGTTCTGATGATCTTAGGTTCTCTCGCCACTGATGACATAGGAAATTGTTTCATATAGAAAATATTAATACATTTAGTTAATCCAATCACTTGTGCCTTAAATGTGCATCTGTGCCCTCTCCTGTATTGTTGCAGGTGTGTTTTTGTTGCTGACAAAGGCAGCAGGGTTTTACATCACTCAAAGGGATCCTGTATGTATGGTATTGTTAAAGGGATACCACCACCTGGGCTTAGGGATCCCACAGTTCTCCTTCTTGGGGCTGTGCTAATTCAGCCTCCCTGGAATCTTAAACCAGCTCCGCCCCAGCTGTCCTCCTTCTTCAGCCCAGGAAGGAATAGGAGTGAACCATAAAGCTCAGCAGGCCTTCCCCTGCTGGTGGTTCTCTTCCCATGAGAGAAGAGACAGGTTATAATCCATCCTCCTTGTCAGGACTCATCCTGGTTGGCTGGAAGAGAGGGAAGCCTTGCCCCCACCCTACACTACAAGACTTCTGGTCCCAGGCCCTTAAAATAATAGTAGCTCAGAAATACCCAAATACTATTTATCATCCTGTGAACACTTCCTCTCCCAACTATTGCTTCTGCCATTTCCTAAGCCAGTGGTTCTCAAAGCCGGTCCGCCACTTGTTCAGGGAAAGCCCCTGGCAGGCCGGGCCGGTTTGTTTACCTGCCGCGTCCACAGGTTCGGCCGATCGCGGCTCCCACTGGCCGCAGTTCGCTGCTCCAGGCCAATGGGGGCTGCGGGAAGCAGCATGGGCCGAGGGATGTGCTGGCCACCACTTCCCACAGCCCCCATTGGCCTGGAGCAGTGAACCACAGCCAGTGGGAGCTGCGATCGGCTGAACCTGCGGACGTGGCAGGTAAACAAATCGGCCTGGCCTGCCAGGGGCTTTCCCTGAACAAGCAGCGGACTGGCTTTGAGAACCACTGTGCCTAGGCCTTAATTTGTTCCAGAATTCCTGGAGTGGGGTAACCTGCCCTCCCAGACTCCCCCCACCTCTTTTAAAAGGCAAATATACCCTGTTACAGATACCTAAAAGCAGACCGCTATGTGGCAACTTCTTGCAATGCTCCCTGAGAGATATTGGGGCTGAAATGATTGAAGGAATCATCATGTAACAGTTCATGAATATGTTATAGTTGAAGTCAAGAATAAGGAGGGGGAAAGCATTTGATGGTAGTCCATCCAGACATGCACTACTGTTTTCAAGGATCTCTTTTGGGAAAATGGCTGTCCAGAATAAAGAAAATCCTTCAGCATATATCTGAAGAGGGTGACAGTGGTTCTTTCTCTGTTATTATCAAAACAATGCTGATAAAAAAACCTTTCTATATTTGAACTCCTTATCTTATATTTTCTCGATATATGAGTGAGATAAATGTACATGAGCAACAGTAATTAGAACTGTTATCAGTGAATAGCAGATTAACTACCACCTTATTTATTAGTGAGGAAATTAGGCTGTATGGGGCCAGCTTTTGTTCACAAAAGCTGCATTTTTTCCTGTTTGGTTTAGAAGCATAATTATTTGAAGTTTGGCTTGTTTTCTAGATTTCATTCTCACTTCCTTTGTGCATTGCACAACCAGAGATATAAGAATGAAATCATAGATAAGAATTATTTCCCCACATAGGAACAGGAAAAAATAAATCTCAACATAAGGAGAAATAGTAATCGTCTTTGCAAGTTAGGCACTAAATTGGGATACAAGAGACCTAGGTTCGGTTTAGCTCTGCCACAGACGTCCTGTGTGACTTTAGGCAAGTTATTTAGTTTCTTTGTGCCTCTGTTCCTCATCTGTAAAATGGGACTATTACTTTTTTACCTCACAAGGGCATTGTGAGGATAACATCTGAGATTCATAGATGGGTAGGTGAAAAGGGATCATTAGGTTATCTTGTCTGACTTCCTGTATAACATAAGCCACACATTTTCTTGCAGTCATCCTGTAGAAAACCCAATAGCCTTGTGTTTGGCTATAGCATATCTCCCAGAAAGGCATCTATTCATTCATCAATTTTGTAAGGAGCTCAGATTCTATGGTGGTGAGGACCATATAAATAGATGCGTCAGCATTTAAGACCATATCTAATTAGCAGACATTAGAATGAGGGGCATGATTATCCCACCTCTGAAGTTCATTGTACCATTTTCTGAACTCTTTGGTTCTGATCACTGTCAGAGACAGGATACTGAACTAGATAGACCATGGATCTGATCCAGTATGGCAGTGCTTGTATTCCTATGACAGAAACATGTTAATGTGTTATACCTACATTAAACTGAACTCTAGCTCTCCTCCAAACAATCAGCATTTAGTCTCTGCTTATTGCTTATACAAATTATGCTCAAACTGTGACTTTTTGGTGGAAGTTAGTACTACAGCATGAAGTTTTCAAAAAGATATATCTATATATGATGTGTTCTATATTTTCACAGATTACTTGGCAAGTCTTTGACAGTTTAAATATTCTAAAAAATGCAGACCTTAAATTTTCTGCAGGAGGCCTGTTGGCTCTGCCTTTTTTAATCAAATTATGAAAAAAATATTATTGCATTATTTATTCATGGGAATAGTAGCTTGACTACTGGGTCACAGAAGGGTTTGAATTACTGTTATCCAAACTAATACTAATTGTGGTTGACAAGGGTGAATCCTCTTTTAGAGTTCCACAGCTGATCAAGTATCCGATGAAGCATAAAGCCAACCTTTAGAATTCATTAGAAATCCTGCCTCCAAGCCAGCCATCTCAATTTGTTTTCTGGATAACCCAGCTTTGATAAAATAGCTAACCACTGGCTGAAGTTTCACATGTAATGTTAACAAAGTGGATGGGGGGGAGAGGGAATCATGTCTTCTGTTTTCAGGGGCGCAGAAATACGTATGTGTATGTGTATGTGAGTGTATATTGCAACAAATCAAGGCCATGACTGGCAAAAGTAATTAGTGATTTGGGGCAACGTAATTTTTGAATGCTCAACTTGTAGTACCTTGAAGAAGCCTAAATTTCAGAGGGCAGGTACTCAGGTCTTTAAAAAAAAAAAAAGACAGATCCCTTTAATGTGTCTCAAGTTGGGCACCCAAAAATGGAGGCACCCATAATTGCTAGCCACTTTTAAAAATCGTGGCCCAAATGCACATTCCAGGAAATGCCAATAAGAAATATATTTGTTTTTGTAAACCTAGAGGAAAACAATTATTTCCTTTTCTTCAAAGATTGCATCACTTCATCAAAGCCACATTCTTGTAATCAAACAGTGAATTGAAAATTATGTTCATCTTTCAGTGACAAAGATACATTTCACACCCGAGTTGTAGGCAAGGTTATTTGGAATCGTATTCCGAATTCACTCAAAACACAGAAACTTGATACTAAGGTACATAAATATCAACTTTATTGATCATTCTTGTACTGCACGAAGTTCCAAAGTTCACATCCAATACACACAAGAGAAAGACAGAATGATTCAGATCTTTTTTTATTCTCAGACTCTCTCTCATCCTCTTCCCCTCCTCCCCCCCGTATTTTTATAGTTGCATTTATTTGCTGCACTATTTATATGTACCACATTTTAAAGTGGAACGAACTAGATCGAACATAAGATTTAGAAGGAAAAGAAAATACAGAAGCAGTGTTCAGACTGAGACAATAAACTCCTATAATAAACTGAGGGGATACAATATTAGTTCTGAATGTTGGAGTTACCCATACTTAAGCATTTATGACTATACACTTAAAAGATCATTAACAGTTAAAAAGGAAGGCATATGGCAGTTGGATGACCCATTAATCTGTAGGGTCATCAATTTTTTGCACATTACTTTTCAGAGTTCAGCTGAATTCAAACAATGCATATAGATTGTAATGGAACAGACCAAAATTCATAATGCTTTGTCTAGCAAAGTCAAAGATGTTCTATGACAGCTAGTCCTCTTTTGTTACAAGCCAGTGAAGTTTTTACAGCTCTTGAAATAATCATTTTTGTAACTAAGGGGAAATAGACCTACTACTGCATTTCTTCCTTTGCTTTTTAGTCTCTATAAAGGAAAGGGTTTCTCTTCATTCCTCACATCAACTATCCCAAGACACAGCTCAGCAAATTCCAAATGTCAGTCACCAACCACTTACGTTCCCCACTATGTGAGTATTTTAAATATGTTGTGAATATAGCATGGGCTCTTATTACCTGTATGGACATGCATTTTCAGATTTTGTATATGGTAACTAGGGTAGGTGGGTATAATCTATTTAACTTGGAGTGCACAATTAGGTCTTGGACAATTACTACAGTGGTATTTCAGGGTAAATAAGATATTGGGTTAAGCTGATTTGCCAAGTCAGGGGTCAACAGTGTTTTCACCTTCTTTCCTAGGTATCTTAGCAAGGACTTTTCCGTAAAAAATAGAATGGTATTCATCCATTAGGATAAGATGGGCAAACACATGATAAATTTCTTGTGATTGCAGGGAGCAAATATTGGTAGACTTTGACCTTTTCAGTTTTCTTTTTCTGTGTTTCATGTCACTAAATCTTGGCCCATTAAAATCAGTGGAGAAACATTAACTACAGTGGGAGTTAGATAAAGCTTTTAGTTTGAATATAGCTGAACACTACAAAAATATATGTCTGAGGAGATGTAATTTGCTTTTGAATTGCACCCTCTTCCTGTGGTATAGATTCTAGTATGATGTGTATATATAAAAATAAAACTTCTACCAGCTCTTCTAGTCTGTGCCCACAGTTCAACATTCCAGGTGAAGACCTGTCCCCATTGAAGTCAGTAGAAATTTTGCCATTGACACAAATGGGGCCAGGATTTCTACCTCCATGTTTAAGTGCTGAGTTTTCCTACTTGAAAGTGTTATCAAAGATTCCCTGGTAAGAACAGATGCTGTAGAACAACTGCATAATAAATAAATTAATAATAATAATGGAGATCTCAGTACAAGTAGAGAGGGAACCCACATTACTTAATTTAATATACAGCAATAATGCTTAGCATTTATGTAGCACTGTAAATGTTCAAACACTATACAGATATTAACTAATTAATCCTCAATATTCCTGTGAGGTAAGTGAGTAAATATAATTATTTACTCTTTTTCAGATGAGAAAACTGAGATAGATGTAAAGTGACTTGCCCAAGGCCCAGGTGAGTCAGTGGAGGCAATATTATGCATTTCTTGCCTACATATAATTAGTAGAAATGTTGAAAATATAATATTGCTTTATGCTAATTCTGTTATTCCAAGCATTGTAGGTATGTAACTGATATGGTAATAGGTTCCTGTCAAGTCTATATAATTAATAACTGCATTATTGTGACATGTTATGACATTCCCTTGTCATCTTTTTTTTTCCAGGATATGTAGAATGTAATGTCCTTTTGGGTTACTGTGAACTGTAGGAGACAGGAATCTAACTAAGGTATATTTTGCAAAATGAGTATTCGCCATATGGTTTAACTCAAATGCCCTTGTTTGTTTCAACAAAACTTTTTTGGAATGACTCTTGACTGAGGAGGTGGGTTTCTGTCTAGGGTCCTGGTCCTGCAGCATTACTGGGTGTTGTGCATACTTTCTCTATTTACTGTGTATTAGCTTCAGATCCTGAATAGTTTGAAGGTATTGGCCCTCATAAATCTCATTGCTGGAATCATACCCTGAGGTGACAAGAGCTTAGACAGCTGTGCCAAAGTTCAAATAGCAGGGGATAAAAAGTGTTCTTGGCAGCTGCTGCTATCTGGGAATCCAATAAACCACCATTTTATGAAACCTTGAAACAAATGACAGAGAAAACCAGTCATTCAGGGGTTGGAGGGTGGTACAATTTCAGCCATTTTTTTCACTAATTATCCCCAATATGTAAATATTGAGTTCTAGCTGAACTGAGGTTCAGCCAGCCAGTCTCTATCTAAACCCTAATGTCCAATGGGTAAATTGTTCCACTGCTAGAAGATACATAAGTTTAAAGATGGGCATCATCTGCATGAGGAAACACAGCAACCTGTATCCCTCCTTCAGTTGCCATATATACATTGAACAAGATAAGTGACACATACAACCCTTTGGCAGAAAAGAGCAGCTGCCTGACACTGCACTCTGGAAGTTCTGAGAAAGAAGAGTGGAGCCATGCAAGTGACCTCATTGGCTTCTATTAGAGTCCACAAAAGCATCAACATTTTGCAGTCAATACCAAAGGAATCTGTGACAGCTAACGGAGTCAGCATTGACACATCCAGCAGCAGAAATAGATCCTCAAGCATCCATTCAATGCAGTTTCCATACTATAACCACATCTAAAAACAATTTGAATCAGAACAAAGATGTGAGGATTACAAATATGTCTGGCAATATTTCACCATAATGTTCTCAGTCATTTTCCCCACCCAGAACAGGAGACTTGAGAGGAGAAGGTAGAAGAGAAATTGCCTGTGACAGTAAATAGTTTATTGTGCAAAGGTCTAACAAATGCTTCTTTAAGAAGCTGGCTATTTGCCTTTCCTGGGGAGACATTGGCAATAGTGTTCCCCTTCGCCAACTATCTTAGCTATGGGACAGATGCTTGATTGGTCTGGAAAAGAAAAGAGAACATGGGAGAGGGATGGGCAGGCTTGACTGCTCTGGGGCTTGCTCATTTCTCCCCACAGGCCCCACAATGCTTATATTCTAAAATGGTCAAAAATGTTCTGACAGAACAGTTTTCTGTAGGAAAAGGCTGATGAAATGGGTTTTAACCCCTGAAAGCTTATGCCCAAATAAATGTGTTTGTCTCTAAGGTGCCACAAGTACTCCTTCTTGCTTTTGCTGATATAGACTAACACTGCTACCACGATGAAATCAAAGTGTTTTATGAGAGAGTATGATTTTGTCAACATTTTTCAATAGAAAATTATTGAAAAATTTCATTTGCATAAGCTTAAAGCGTTTCATTTTGATATTATCATTACATAAGAATAGCCATACTGGGTCAGATCAATGGTCCATCTAGCCCAGTATCCTGTCTTCTGATGGTGGCCAATGCCAGGTGCTTCAAAGAGAATGAACTGAACAGGGCAATCATCAAGTGAGCAATCCCCTGGCAGTCACTCCTAGCATCTGGCAGTCAGAGGATTAGGGACACCCAGAGCATGGACTTGCATCCCTGGCCATCTTGGCTAATCGGCTCATGGAGCACAGGTCCATCAATGGCTAATTAATTCTTTTTTAAATTCAGTTGTAGCCTTCAAAACATCTCCTGGCAATGAGTTCCACAGGTTGACTCTGTGCATTGTATGAAGAAATACTTCCTTTTGTTTGTTTTAAACCTGCTGCCTATTAATTTCATTGGGTGACCCCTGGTTTTTGTGTTATGTAAAAGGGTAAATAGCACTTCCTTATTCACTTTCTCCACACCAGTCATGATTTTATAGATCTCTATCATATCCCCCCTACGGTTTCTCTTTCCCTAGCTGAGTAATCACAGTCTTTTTTTAATCTCTCCTCATACAGAAGCTGTTCTACACCCTTAATCTAATTTTTGTTGCCTTCCTCTGTACCTTTTCTATTTCTAAGATATCTTTTTTGAGATGGGGCTGTGATTGGTTCGGTCACAGAGACCCCCTTGGGACTGTCACCTGATGTGCTGAGATTACCTCTGAGCCTGTTTTCCCTGCCAGCTTGGGACTCCAGAACACTGCCTTGTTGAGCCAGACACACTAGCCTGCTGCAACACAGATCCAGGTCTGGTCCACGCTTCCAAAACTGCAGACTTTAACCAAAAACTGCTCTGCTGGTCATCTATCTCCAGCATCCAGACATCCAGTTCCCAATGGAATCCAAACCCCAAATAAATCCGTTTTACTATGTATAAAGCTTATACAGGGTAAACTCATAAATTGTCCACCCTCTATAACACTGATAGAGAGATATGCACAGCTGTTTGCTCTTCCAGGTATTAATCACTTACTCTGGGTTAACTGATACACAAAAGTGATTTAATAAGTATGAAAAGTAAGATTTAAGTGGTTTCAAGTAATAATAGACAGAACAAAGCAAGTCATCAAGCAAAATAAAGCAAAAACATGTAAGTCTAAGCCTAATACATTAAGAAACTGTTTACAAGTAAAATCTTACCCTCAGAGATGTTCCAATAAGCTTCTTTCACAGACTAGACTTCTTCCTAGTTTGGGCCCAATCTTTTCCCCTGGTAC